TGTCGCCCCTGAACCAGTCTCATTTTACGTAATTCCAGCAACTAGTGGGGAAATTCCTACCATCAGACTCATCACTATCAGATGCAACAACAATTCTACGTCGCTTTGTTGATTGTGCAACTGCTGATCTTCTCGGCCTTTTAATGGATTTACTTATTTCATTCACATCATCCTTGTCGTCTTCTTCTTCCGACTTATTTTCTTTATTGCTTGTATTGATCTCATCTGAAATATTAATATATAAATTTAAAAAAAAAAACAAATGGTAATAATACAGGTCTCCCTCCAATTAAAGACTACTTTTGGACCAGGGATTTTCCATGGTCTTTAAAATAATAAAGATAAAAGACATTTGTTAATATTGGACCACAGAAAGTGGTCTTTAATTGGAGTGGTCTATAATGGAATGGGTCTTTAATTAGAGGGAGACTTGTATAATAATAATTATTATTATAAAATATAATTTTTGCAACAATGAAATTAATCTCAACATATTGGCATACCTTGGACATCCATCTCTTCTTCATCATCATCATCATCATCTTCATTATCTGACGGACAACACACAATCATCTTCAGTCGTTCCTCAACATCTTTTTTCACTGCTTCAGTGGCTGTTTCCACCCAGTTTCGAATTTCTGGCAAAGAAGAGAAGAAGCGTCCTCCCCTCTGAAACCCTTTCTCGCCTAAACCTTCAAATTTCTCTACAAACCTTTAAAGATGGAACATGTTTAACAAAAAATCATTATTTTGTTTATTAGTCTAATTTGTCATTGAATGATATTTCAACCTGTTTTTAAGAAGACATTTTAACAAAAAAAAAAGAAAAGGAATAAACACAAAATACTATATATCATTTCTAAGCAAATTGAAAGATAATAAATTTAAATATAGTATATTATTTATTTTAAATATTATTGATAAAATATAATATGTTAATCACATATAGATATGTATTTTTAAAGTAAAGAAAAAAACAAAAAAACAGTAAAGTTCATATATTTAGAGAATAGAGATAGTGTCAACTTAACCCTTAATCATTGTGATATTATTTGATCAAAAACACCATTAGAAAATGATTTTTACTAACTTGCTACTTATCCAGGCTCTACTTTTAGTATCATCGAAAAATTGAACATGAATTCGTTTTGGCTTATAATACTTGGATTCAGTTGGATGTTTACAGACAAGGCTTGGCCACCAAGGAAATCCTTCCAGCTTCGCCCAAACAACATCACCCTCTAAAAACTTGCAACCTGTATATAAAATTGAAAGCTATGTAATGAATTCAGAACAATAAATTTATTTATAAATTTATTTATTTACCAGACTGTATAGTAATTAAGGCTTTGATATCATCCACACAATTGACAAACTTTACAGATGGTTAAGGAGTAGGATAATTAGTAGAGTATTTTTGGTGTGAACTACACCTACAGTAGGATAACCCACCAAGTCCTGGGTGGGGTTCCTCAGGTGGAGTTTTGCAGTACTACACCAGGAGACAATTATCCTCTCGGGTATACTCTATTTGTAGAATGTACAATACATAGGCCTTTGCCTTAGGTTTTATTTATGACCACAGTTGCCTTTATTTTGGTTCATATTTACTACGGTATTTTCATTTATATTCATCTATGTCTTTGCTATACTTCTCTTTCTGGGTTTTCACCCCTCTAACTTGGTGGTAAATAATAATAATAATAATTATTATTATTATTATTCTTGAATGTCCTTTTGAACTTCAACTTGATAGACATCATCTATTTTATTTAGTTATAGGAGAGTTTTTAGAGATTCTCTTACTATATGGTTACATTGTGTCTTTTAATGCATTGTGGGCCTATCATTTTGATGTTCCTGTCCCTGTGTGCTGTATTGTTTTCTGCTTTGCTTTGTTCCCTCTTAGGTGTGCCTGTTATTATAGCCCTTAAGGCAGTGATTTGTTTGTTTTGTCTTTTGTTTTTATCTTATCCTACTGTGATTGGTCTATTTTATGATATTGTTTAAATCAAGTTATTAAGTTAAATCAATCTGCATACAACGTTGTTCCGTCCTCTAAGGACTCATCAGTGCAGCTGAGATAAATTTGAGATTGAACCTTAGCTATGAAACAAGCAAGCTTGTAACAAGGCAGTTTAAAAGTCAAGTGACGCAGCGCAGAAGTCAAGTGGCACAGTGCAAAAGTCAAGTGGCGGCACACGCATTTAAGTTTGCACTGTGCCCCATTGGTTTTGCGTTGTTTGTCCTTTTGGCGTGATATCCCCAAAAGGACAACCATACGCATTTGGGTTTGCACTGCGCCAATTTAGGCTCCATAACAAAAACTTACTGATGAGTGAGGGAGGTTTTTTCATTTTTTTTCTAACCCCACCCCCATTTTACCAATGTTCGCAAATAAATCAATGGTTTTTAAGGACAAATTTATAAAGTCATAAAAAATGGAATCAAATTTATATTAAAAAAGATGTTTTTGTTGTACCAGTAAACATATTTGCAAGAAATCCTGATGTTCAAAAAAATGGAAAAATGAATTTTGGGATAAAAATATATATGTTGATTGAAAAAAAAAAAAAAAAAAAATCAGAATTTTCCCAAAAGTGAAACTAATAAACTAATATTAAACTAATAATAATAATAATAATAATAATAATAATAATAAAAATAATAATAATAATAATAAACTAATAATTTTTGTTATGATGGGTTCTTAGTTTGGCACTGCGCCACTCAAATTTTTGCATTGCGCCACATGTGGTTTGTCCTTTTGGCGTGCCATAGGAAGTGGCCTTGCCTAAATTAAATCACATATAGGCCTAGGCCAAGACATAGGCCTACGCCTAGACCTGTCCTCATGAGTATTCAAACAATAGGCCTATTAATCAGCAGAAGGCCTTTGATTCAAATCCCGATGAAAATTTTTTCTCGATATTTCTTTTAATTTGGCCTAGGCGAGACTAGTTTTATACCTCGGTTGGCTTTTTATATCATCAGAGAGGGCGAACAAAATTATAGATAAAATTCTGTATTCTTCTTCCATTACAGACCACCTTGTCGGTGTACTCTTATTTTGCAAATAGTTTTGCCAAAAACTTCGACGGAGGAGAAATGAAAATTAAATTTTATTCATGGTGAATGTAAACAGTGTAGTAATGGGATTGTTAACTTTAACTGTATTAAAGAAATACAGGCTGCAGTGGGCATAACACAAATTAAAAAAAAAAAAAAAAAAATTCTTTGTGGCGGCGGGTGCGCTGAACATGGTATACAAAAGTCTCGTCCTATCAGAGTAAAGATGTTTGTTATACCAAAGGTCTCCCTCTAATTAAAGATCCCTCCAATTAAAGACCACTTCCAAATGAAGACCACTTTTCAGTGGTCCCTTAACAAATGTCTTTTATCTTTATTATTATAATCGAACCCCACTCTGTGAAGAAACGTAACAAAATACTATTGGGTCCTGGCTTACAAAACGCATTACCAACCGTTTCTCGCGCATCGTGCGGGACGGTCCCGCTTCAAAGTGTTCATTGGATGTAAAACGCATTTGGCAGAAACACATGCGTGATCTTAAATTTGTCACGCATTTAGTCCACGCAAGACGATGAATAATCACGAATTCAGGAAAAATATATTTAAAATTAGAAGAAATTAGTTTTATTAAAAATATAAAACAATCATGCAGTAACTTGAGTCATTAGAGAGCTTTCTTTTTGAGATTCAATTCACCAAAAGCTTTGGCGGCGCGTGTGGTCTTGCGCGTTCATTGTCACAATGTTGATTATCCATGAAGCTATCCAAAAATGAAAACAAATTAAATTAAATATTTTGATAAATAATTTTCTCATTATAAATAAAGACAACGAAATTCCTAAAAATATATATAGGACCTATATATTAACTACCAAAAGTCAAAAGAACAGAAGCTTGTTATTTTTAATGTATTTAATCTTGAATGTTCTAATGTTTCTTAATTCATTTAGAAAAAATATTTTAAATACAAAAGAATTTGTTTCTGTATTAGTTTCAACTAAAGAAGTTTCTGTAATATGAGATTTTTTTTTTGTTCTTGTTTTCAAAATGTCTATCTACTTTTAAATTTTGATTTTTAATTGTGTATAGAAGATGAATGTGCATGTTTTTTGTACGCAAGCTTGTCTTTGAGTCGAGTTAACTCACTGAAATCTAAAATAAATAATCTGCTATCAAAAAAAACTCCAAATATTAAGTTAGTTCTGGCTATATCTGCAAAAGCCTGGGAAGATTTTTCAATTTAGTAGACTCAAAATCGAGGTGGTTTGAGCATGGACCTGGTTTGAACTTTACCCACTGATTTTTTTTTTTTTTCGATGCATTGTTCCTCCTAGTTTTCCTATTGATTTTTTTTTTCCAATCAGGTTGTTTTCATTATATTTTATAAGACAGAACATATTTTTTTTTGTGTGTGTTTTCTCTATATCAATTAATTATTGTCTAGTCATTGTAAGGTTACACTAAAAAGGTGTGCCGATGATACAAAAGCGTTATTCAATCAATTGACTAATTGACTTATTGATGCATTCGCAATACCGTATTGATGAAGCCTAAATACAAATTGTAGAAACGTTTTGAAAGTTTAAATCCGGTTTTACATAAGAAATACAGGAAAGAAAACAGGATATCTTTATAACCCTTTCCTCTTTTGGAATTTCGATATCACACCTTTTCTCTAGTCGTTCTATATAGGCCTACCCATAATTCATCCACAAAACCTATTTCTGTATTTCTACAGCACTTCGGAGGTCAATGCCCATTGAGTGATTCTCTTCTACGATACGCCTACTACTGAAAGGTCCGATTAATCTCAGACAAGGAAGTATAATACATACTCCAAGTATTGAAATACACGCCATCGTGTTGAGATTCAATATTTCGACATGATGTCATCATACGCCTACTTTTATTTCAAATTGTGTTACGGTTGATGGTAGCAAATACGCCTATATCATTAAATATACTTCATTTAATTAATGTTATTTAATTTGTTTATCAGAAAATTAGGTTAATTTGTTTTATAAAGTATGGGTATTATATATATAGGCTTAGCCCAACTAGCATTTAATAAATACAATTAGAAACACTGTTTTGGCTCGACGTCGTAATAATTATGTACGAAAGTGTATTCTTCAGGCCTATCAGTTAATCGATCTATGGAAGAAAGAATCCTACTACTCAATAATGTTGGAATATAGAATACATGCCAAGTTGGAGATAGCTAGAGGCTTGAGATTCACAGGAAATAACCCAATTGACGTGAATCGAGGCCCGTCCGAGGGCCCCGGAAAATTTTGGGCTTAGATGCTCTCTGGGGGTACTCTGAATATCTCTAGTGCTGAAATTAAACCTGAAAAATGAGTAGCTATAACAGGAACGATAGAATTTTCGATGATCTGGGCCTGATAAAATATAGAATTGCGAAGGTTTACATTATTCGATAAAATGTTTGGGTTTAATCAAATAAAGCTTAGAGATTAGTGGAAAAGCGTAAGATTTTAGGGGAGTGGCTTGAGCTTGAGGTTTGTTCGAAAAACGACTTGGTATGATATCCTAATAATATATTGACTATAGGCCTATTTTTGATTCATTTTCTTTGGTATAGGCCTAAGAATGTGGTAAAATCACCTGACCTTTTTTAAGATCGGGTAAAACCTTGAATTTTGAAGAAATTAAAGGTCATTAAAAGACACCTCAGAAGTCGGGAAAGCTCATATTTCCGGCCATCTAGGAATCAAATTTTCCCGGGGGAAGGACCCCACCCCCCCCCCTTTAATTTTTGGGTTTATGGGAAAATGAATCCCCCTCTTTAAGTTCAAATCCTAGATCCACCCCTGATTGTGCTAGATCCTGGAAACACAGGTTTCTGAGCCAGCCAGGATCTGCCCGACAAAGGGGGGGCGGGGCGCTAGGCGAGCGAAGCAAGCCTCACTTGGCTGGGGCCATGGGGCGAAGCCCCCTTTGGAAGCTACAAATATTTGACGAATTTTGGTGAATTTTTATAAGTTAGGCCTATTTGATAGGCATCGTGCTACCGTAATATAACTTCATGTAGGCCTGTTTTTTTTAATGTCAAAAAATTAACTTCTAAAACCGAAGGTTTTTCAATAACAACACACTTTTACTGCTACACACAGAATATTTATAATATTACTGTATGTTACATTATACGGTAAACTTTATGTGTGTTGCACACTTTATTCAAAAATTGAATACAAGGCTCACATGGCCAAACATGTAACACATGCCTGGCACGCACAAGTACCCAGTATCACACCAAACATTACATTACTTTTAATTGTATCTTCTGTTCTACTTAATATTATTATTATTATTATTTTTTACTGTACATTTGGAATTATATAACATCAAAATGCAAACGAAAAATTTTCTCCATACTATGCATTTGAAGTTGGTAAACATCACAAATTTGAAAATTATTTTAACATAATAATGTACACAATAGGCAATGTAAAAATAGCGTCCATTTTTCAGAGAGGGCCTTTCTTTTGCTGTTACTTTCTTGTTTTTCGTTTTAAAGCCAATATTTTTCGTTCTGTCAAGGCCTGCCCCTAATGTTCTACATAAATACAGCGTAAACATTTTTGTTTGTCGGACATGCGGGTATTCCTGGCGTTTGATTTCCCAGTTAAGTTGATTGAAACGCCATAGGGTCTGTTATTGCTCTAGTGTTCTCATTCAATCTTGTGAAATAATTATGACTTCTACAAATGAATTACACACAGTTTAAACAGGAATCGTTTAGTTTTTCTCTAGTATGGGGAGCAGATAATCAGCTTGGCTCTCAATAAAAAATATGCAACCCACTCCCACACATCTGAAATATCTAGATATGATTCTTTTTAAATTGGGTTTTTTAATTGTATAGTGATTTGATGAAAAGAGAGAAAAAGTTCTATACTAAATTGTTACATAATAATGAATTAAAACAAAATATAACATCTAATCAATTTACAATAAATTTGGGCATCCATATCACATCATAAACATCTCATGTGAGATTGATTGAAGATGCTCATATCATGAAGAACGAGCAAATATTTTCACGATTTACTACCACTCTTTGTAAAAATATATCATAAAATTCTCTGATTGAAATAACCAGCTGACAAATCTTAAAAAAAAAATAAATGTTTCATTCATGTATGTCATATGCAATGCACTCACATGAACTTAAACCCCTAAAACAAACATGCCCACACACCCTTACACACTTTACATGAAAAAAAAAATAGACAAACTTAAAACTTACATAAAGTGTCACTCTTACTTGTCACAGATGTGATTCAGATAAGATAATGAATATTTCAACACATTTCTGGCTCCCTAATACCAAGAGTTTGCATGCACGGATCCAGTAGGTGCACGGTAGACGCCACCCACCCCCCACCCCCCGTTTTGCCACTAAATTTTTAAAATTTCAATGCATATCAATGTTACGTATTGAAATACAGCAATACTGAATTACTATTCTAAAAATATTGTTCCCACCCCCACAGCACCACCCTGATTGAAAAATTCTGGATCTGCCCCTGGTTCCTATAATTTTGCTGCATCATAAAGTACTGTTTATATATTATATATATATATATAAATTTATTCTTATTGTTAAATACATTTGCCTAAAAATGGCATAAAAAGACTGAATAAAGTAGGCTTTTGTGCTTTAATTAATATATAATGTGCATTCAACATAATGGAAAGTAAATTTACTCAATTGTTATGATGACAAAGCTAACAATGACTCCCAACAAAAGCCTGTGCTGAATAAATGCTATTTTAAGCCGGACAAACACCGCGCACGATGGTCCTTGGCCGAAGTGATTCCATAAAGAATGCAACGCCACGACACACGCCGGATAGTTTTTAATGACTATCCGTTCATACTGCCATCGATAATCAGCAGACGGTGTTGAGTCGTCTAACACTCATAGGGACCGGAATTGGATTTGTCGGCCGACAGTCGTACAATCGTTGTGCGACGCAGTTAGTTCCCGGTGTTGCTACTTATTCAAACCAGGCATAGACTATCTTTCTGTTTATTATTAGGCCAGACACACACTGCAGTGTAGGCGGCCTTTAGTTTCATGAGGAAATGGTCTTTGTTGTGATAATGCATAATTATGACATTTGAACACAAAACTGAAAGGTAAACCATCAAGTTACTGCAGCCTTGATCTTTCACTTTTCATTTACAAATTTGCAATTTCTTACTAACGCAGCAGACCAAAAAAATGTGGTGTATTATACATTTCAAAAAATGGTGTAGGAAGAGCAGCAGTATATTTATCTACAATTTATATTCAATTTTTATCTTCTGTATCTTCAGCTGCATAAAACATAATTTTCACAAAAGAAATTAAAGGTAGTGGCAGAGTAGATGGAGGGACTGATGCAGAGAGGCTTAAGCCCTGATGTTGGCCACAACATGTTGACCATAACAAGGACAAATAAGATTTTTTTTATTTTTTATTTCTTAGTATTTTTTAGCATAATACAATCAGAAAGAGCTTAAAATGGCCAAAAATCACCTAGTATCTCTAGACACTAAAGGGTATTGACCCTCTTGGACCCATCAGGGTCACTGGTGACCTTTGTTGGAGATTCTCAGACTCACTTATTTCGAACAACTTAATTACCCCGATGTCTGGCAAATCCTGATCCCCCCACCTCCATTGACATCAGTATAGTATTAGAATACATATTACAGGTATTGCATTAGCTTACACATTACAGGAAAGAGTCACTATTAGATTTTGAGGTATACATCATAATATCAATATATATTCTACTAAATAATAATCATTAACATAACGTGACTGCTTTGTAAAATTCAACATCAGCATCCTTGCAGAAGGAGTCATCATTGGAGCGACCAGACTCTAGCGAACAGATCATTCCCGCTCTGCATGATTCATCGCATGACCCATGCTCATTTGACTTGTACAAATGTCTGCAAAAAAAACCCCCAATTTCATTAAACTTTATTTAAAGTATATTTTACACTAGTAATCATTGGATTGTCATAGCTATATATTTATTATATGTTTGATTTGTGTATATATCTGAGAGCATCCTGTATTATCGGAGCATTGGTGGTGTTGGTTCAGCAGTCTCCATTCTGCTTATTGAACTTGTGGTCAGGAGTTCAAACCACATGCTGTCCAATCTCCTCTCCAGACAGGCTGCAAAAGTGTCTCTAACTATGTTTAACCCTAGTGCAAGCATTTCATGGCATATAGTTAAGTAATCCATTACCCAGAAGTGGGGTGATTTCAGTGTTAAAAAAATCCTGTATAGCTTACTTTCTAAATTTGTCAAATAAAGGCCGGTCTGTCTTCATTCTTTGAACAAAATCATTCCAATCTTCTGGAAATAAGTTTTTCATTCCATACTCCACCTATACAATAATAAAGAGAAAATAAGTTTGGATATAAAAATAATTGTAACATTGTTCTTTAATATTTACATTCTGGCTTAGGTTATAAAACAATGATTTATTTAAATTAATATAAATGCAGGCCCAGCGTTAGAGAATGAATTTTGTTTTGTTTTCGTTTTTGTTTCATCATGAGTTCAACAACCCTAGACTATTTGATTGGGGTTATACCAGGGCTTTGTATTGGCAAGGCAAACATGATGAGCTTATATGTATCATAGATCAAGTGAGGAAATGTGTGATTTGTCAAGTAAGTAGATCATGTGACTATACCTTCGGATTGTATGCAAATTGCCAAACTGGTTTGTTGGTGAGGTTAGCATCTGTCAAGTTGAGAATGGTGTTGTTATAATCTAACATCATCTAAACATAACAAGGGAAAACAAATATGATTAGTCAATACCACCTCTACTCATCCTGAGACAAAAATTGATTTATTTTTATTATTACATGTAGAAATATACATATAAGATCCAGAGAAATGGCAATTCAAAAACCTCTAACATTAGTATACAAGTATTGATACACACACAGATATGTAGCCCTCAACCCACCCCAATTTTTAGTTGTAAATAGGCTACGCTAGTGCATCATAAATACAATAAAAACAATGACAACATAATTCAAGATTTAAAGCTGTTTTCTCAGAGTAAAATAATTGACATAACATAACAAGGAGATAACAATAGGATTAGTCAATATATTTACTCATTCTGAGACAAAAATTGATTCATTTATATTATTACCTATAGAATTATGTTTCCAAATGATCAATGAGACAATATACAACTAATAAAATTAAAAAATACGATGATACTTTTGATAAAGATCATGTCAGGCAATGCCTGAAAACTTTATTAGGCCTAGCTATTGCTAGGCCCTACGCTACATACAATCTTATTTATACAGTGGAAGGTTTGTGACACGTCAACCTAAACATAAATCAACCGTATCAAGTTGTAAACAACAAGATCATGAATAAAAACAAACGGAATGAAGTGAAATCAGATTGCCATATAAATAAGATTGCCTACATGGAATCTCTGTACTCTACATGGAATGTAGTGTACTGTAGGGCCTAGCAATGGCTAGGCCTAATAAAGTTTTCAGGCATTGCCTGACATGATCTTTATCAAAAGAATTGTTGTATTTTTTTATTTTATTAGTTGTATATAGAAATATATATCCAGGATCCAGAGAAACAGCAATTCAAAAACCACAAATAACATTAGTATACAAGTATTGATACCTAAAGGTCCACTGATTAATCTCAGATAAGATAGTATAATGCATACTCCAAGTATCGAAATGAAAACAAAGACAACATAATCCAAGATTTAAAGCTGTTTTCTCGGAATAAAATATGCGGTCCAGTTTAAAAATTATTTTACAAAATTAGTTTAATTATAGTTTTATATTTTCAAAGCATTTGCAATTTTCATATTGTTCCCCAGCTGAAGTTTACTAAACAGTTTTGAATGAGAAAATTGATAGATGCGTACTTAACGCAAGTTAACACATTATGATTGTGAGATGTGCATATGATCTTGGCCTAGTTCTGACAGATCAGTAGTTAACTTTGATTGACATGGTCCATAAAACAACTCACCCATGAAGATCCATTATAGTTACCGTCCATTAAACACACCCTGTATCCTGGATTAAGGTGCTTATACGTGGTAACACTCCCTGGCATATGGACCACATTAAGTGGCCGTGAAGTGTTTGTTAAGTCATACATCACTTCTAGACTCTGGATGTGGGTGTGTCCAAAGTACTGTCCAGTTATTGTGCTTTCATATCTTGAGAGAAATAAAAGACAGAACTACTATATTTCTAAAAGCAATATCAAGAACATTATGGTGGTAATTTTTTATTATGGCTTGTCAATACCCTCCTTCAGTACTCAAATCATTACCCTGATTCTATGCAACCATATCACAGAACAAATGCTATATCAAGCAATATGAAATTTTATAGAGAAATCCATTACTTAAAACAAATATCATAGATAGATTTGATATAAATTATTAAAGGTCCTAAATAATATGTACTGTAAGTGCAAAAAAGATAAGGTTTCACCATGTGTACAATGGACTACAGGTGACAGAGTTACCATAGTACAATCTATATGTTCCAATATTTTAATTGCGATAATAAAAAACACCTTTTCTCTTTACATGTGCAGGCCCGTAACCGGGTTCATGTGAAGGGGGTTTCTTACTATAAGCCAAGTTTAACTAAAAAGTATTTCTTTAATAGATAAGGGCGATGATTAAATACAACTACAATAGTAAACTGGTCAAACCCCCTCCCCCCCCCCCACCCGGCCTGAGGTATGTTTATGTTGCCTATTTTTCAACATTTTTGTAGGAGCCAACTGTCTACTGAAATGGTTTATAGGACCTTTAATTTACATGTAAAAAACTGATCACCTGTATGGAATACATTGTCTTTTCTACAGTACAAATTATCCACTGAAATTATCAAATTGTTACCTATTGACAATCTTGTAGTAGTTCCAGCTCCACCATTTCAAACAATCACCACTGCCTGGAGCAATGTGGCCTAAGATGTGTACCTTTTGATTCTTGTTCTCAGCTTGTTGCAATGTTGAAATCAACCACTGTAGCTCTCCTGCTGGGTCAGTTTCATTTATCAAAAGCCACCTGTATTCAAATTAAATTCAAATCATATTAGTATTAATTCAAATAAAATTAAAGCCCAAGAAAACCTCTGTGATACAAAACAAGAACATTAAAATATAATGTCTGTTGATGAAAAAAAAAAAAAAAAAAGCTTTAGAAATTTAAGTATCTAATTTTATTCTCCAAGTTTAAAGCTAAACACAGACACCACTTTTATTAAACAATCTTTCTGATAAACAATTAAAAGTTCAAAACAGACAATACAAACCAGTTTTCAGTGTTACACATGTTCATGTTTAGAGACACAACAAGAAGTCCAGGGTAGAATTCTGTGGCATAGTATCCGCCCCTAAAAAACACAATAATTTTAACGTAAAGAATAAAGGAAAAAAACACCGTTTTAGCTGGTAGTAAAAAATGTTTTCAGTGTATAACACCAGGATAATATCCACTACCTCTCATGAGATACATAACTTACAAAGGCATGTGCATATGTAGCAAAGACAAGCCAAACCAGTCACTTGTTGCAAAAATCAATTATTGGTTATTACTACAGGGTTAAACAGTATTAAAAATGAGAGCTATGAAATGGTAAAACAATCATTAAAATCCGACATTTCGTTATGAAGTTACAGGAGTTTAGACATATTCATTCATTCATCCATCCACTAACTCATCATCTATTCATAAAAAAGTAATAATAATCTAGGTCCTTTAAGGATGAAGCCACATCTCTATAGTGCCTTACTGTTTAATTGTAGGCCTGGTATCCTCTGGCAGCCAGTGAGCTGTGTCGATCCAAGCCTTAGTGAATGCATCGTACAACCATGAAATAGCCTCTTTCCCTGTCACATACGGGGGAGGGAAGCTATATAGAATATTTAAAAAAAAAACCATTATTTACATCAAGAACAGTAAAGAAACTCCAAAATGAATGTGATGCAAGCTTTATGATTAGTATTTCAAACTTCATCTCTCAACTTTCAGGTATGAAGATACAGTATATGTTGTCTCTGAAACACCCTCTCAATGGAATGGCCAAGTTAAGTTTTATTTTTACTTATTTATTTATTTTTATTTATTTATTTATTTTTATTTATTTATTTTTTTATTGCTTGTAAGCAATACAGTAGATGTAGAGTGAAAGTTATCAGTGGATGAAACTTTGAATCTGGCTCTGTATAAAAGTAACTGCAAGTGAATCTGGCACCAATTTTCATGCAGTGAATTCTAACAATCAGTGAGAGGTCACAGGTCATATACTAAAGTAGTGCTACAACAAGGTGCATCAAAGGTTAAACAAATAAAATTATATAATCTAGATTACTGTAGTTTACCATCTAGTTCCTTGAGAAAAAAAGGGTTAACGTGTATGATAATAGCAGCCTAGTGCATATTCACAAATTTTAAATTGTTACTCTAATAATTCCCATATTTACAATTCATAACCTTATAATATGATAAAAAAAAAAACAATGGATTGAAATAAAAAATAAAATTTACCTATTTACAGGAGCACTTTCATGGTTTCCAACAGATGGAAATATTCTTGTTTTTGGAAAATATTTAAGCAACATGGCGGTAATCTCGTTCAGAATTTCAATCTCGTCTTCCCTTGTTTGGTTCCAGACATTGTGAGCTGGCAGGTCACCAGTCAGATAGATCGCATCAAACTTCAAGTAGAAAAAAAAAATAATTTTGAAATTTCTAAGGGTTGACTTTTTTGGCAAAAATTTACTAGGAGAAGCCCAAAATGCTTAAATGATGATTTTAAAGGCTACTTTTTCAAATTAAACTCATCAATTTAATAACTTAATCAAGGATTTCAGCTTTGTGATTAATGTATTACTAATAAAAGTGTATAGGCTGATTGATGATTGGTAAACTCTTCAGAATTAGGCCTAGGCATATAGTTAAAAAAGAAATACAGTATTGAACCTTTGCACTAAGCCCCGCCCCTTGGATATCGTTGCTAAGGTCCCACTAAATAATAGCATAAATGTATGTATATAGGACAACATCTGCGTTTGTTGGACACACACATATTCCTGGCACTGTCCTAATTGGTTAGTTGTTAAGTTTGATTGGCACACTTCGTACTAAGGTCCATTGTCGACCAACACTAACTTTTGTTTGTCACTGTGCTAGGGCAATAGAACAATACTTTTTTTTTCATTTAGCATGTAGGTTTGGATTTGTCTTGGACCAGCAGACATTAACTAACACACCTGACAAAAGAAATTGGATAATGAATGTATTTGTCAAGACATATTGTGAAGCCCCGTACAGACTATCAAATTTTATTTGACAAAAACATTTGACGTATCTAAATATGGTCATGATGACATCACATCATGACCATATATAGGCACATCGTGACTATATATGGTCATGCAAGTTTTTTGTCAAATAAAATTTGATAGTCTGGATATAGTATTTACCTTTTCATTTTTTGACAGATGCTCAAGTAGGTTTATAATTAGCCACTTGGGTGTGTCGCAGTATCTGTAGTCACCCCACAGCCCTGCCCCAGCTACACCTTCAGCTGTAATAGTAATAAGAAATAATTACGTCAAAAATAAAATTATAGTATTAATGCAGATTCACGTAGCACTACATATAATAAAAACTATATTTAAAAAAAAAATTACTACATATAATAAAAATTATATTTTAAAAAACAATTATATTGTTATTACTGATTGATTAAAAAAACCTTATTATTGATTGATTATTATAGGCAGATACATGAAACATAGAGCAATGAAACAACCAAACTATTTCTTTGCTCTATGCATGAACAGCCATGGACTGCAATCCTCACTCATTCTCTGGAATATTCCCATTTTGTGCCTGAAATTCAGTACCAAATTTATTGAAATACAACTAGGTTTAAGTTTAACATTTATAGTCCCAGAAAGAGAGTGGCAAATATAGATTAAGTAGCCTGCATGCAAAAAAAAAATACACTTAGTTAATATGGACAGTGTGGGATTCAAATACCTGACCTCAAGGGTCAAAGTATGAACCTCAACCACTGTTCCACCTACAGTACTCTTAATACTAAATCATTTTTTTCACAAAAGTTTATTATTACAGTAATAATATAATAGTTAATAATTAAATATAACTCTTTAGTAATATAATATTATATATACATATATAAATATATATATACATATTATCTAAAAATACGATATGTATTATTTCTACCTAATTACATAAAGAAGAAACTAAATATTTATATACCAGGTGGTCCATCATTGTCACGGCAACATAGAGGTTCACCGCACTCTGCATTAGATCCAGCTTTGTAGCGTCGGTCATAATGCAAGTCAGTCAGATGCAAAATTCGAAGTGTAGGCGAGCCATCCTGCATGGTGATACAAAATGTTATAAAAGACACATCGAATTATAGACGATCTTGTCGGGTTTATTTTGAAACGTCTCGCAACTCACTGGAAGACTTCCAGCGGCCTAGCCTAGCCTGAGCAGCTAGCTAGTGTCACTGCACACACTGGCAACTAAGTATAGCGAAATCCCTAGGCCTCTGGAAGTCCCCCAGTGGTAGTTGCCAGGTTATCAGAAATTTTCATTAACACATTTCATACACAGCAGTCAAAGCCTGAAATGCACTTTATTTTATTGATGTATAAAATATAAAATTGAAGATCACTTTATTTTCCCATTTGAGAACAACAAATTTGTCTTTGCTTAGCAACAATTGGGTCAAAATAGAAGTGCACACATGAAAATACATTAGAATATTTAACCAGTTAAAAAGTCATAATGAAATTTATTACATTTATTACAAATT